TGTTCATCATACTAATTATAGGTCCCACCAGTACTTCGAGGGAATCTTTAACTAGTTGGGTGGGGATGGGGTCTAGCGGACAGGTGGTTGATTTTGTCTTAATAATAAATTTCTTTAGTTCAAATTCATTAACTAATTGAAAAACACTGAAAAGGTGCACACATTGATTTTGTACTAGATTTCTTTGTGGCCTTTTTGATTGTGTTTGAAGTCTGATGTTGTAAATGTTATTACATACTATTTTGCAAACTCCATGTAGGATTTGAGTAGTTAAGTTGCTGTATTTACTTGCAGTTGCAGTTCTTCACTACTGACCGGTATGTACATATGACTTAATGCATTACATTAATCTCAAAGTGATATTTTGTTAATATCTTAGGGTCAATGTTGAATTTATTTTCTTTTTTCTCTTTTTTCACAGTATGTCGGATCATCTGATGTTATTTGTAAAAATGTAGTACAGAATAAAATGAAAATAGAGCATGTTTCTGTAAATCAGTAAGACGAAATCTTTGGATTTTCCCTTTAATACCTTGTGAATGGAGTTAATGTTCTCCTGGTTTAAAGAGTAATGTTCTTTAAACTGAATTAATGGTTCAGTTCCACAGGACTCCAAATATTAAATATTAACTCTGCAACAACGCATAAGAATGTGGTTAGGCTGCATGCTAAGTTCAGTTCTGTCCCCTTTCTCCTGGATTGGTGTTAAATTTGTGATTTTCGAATCCGTGGGTATTCCTCTAATTCTATGTTTCTAGGGGTATATGAACTTCCTTAAGTAATACTGGGAAAATCTGTATTATCAACTACCTTTTCTAGATTTTCATTGTAAGTTTTTTCAGAATCCATTTAGTTTTTACTTGGAGTTTGTGTATTAAATGTCTAAATTAAGGTAAAATATTTTTTAATGCATCTTGATTTTAGTCTGTTAGGCCACATAATTAGTTTGGAAAGTTTTCTATAGGCACAGTATATACAGCATATATATTTAAACTTAGAGGAAAGATGTGGTTTAGGTCTTAAAGTTGCTGTAACAACAGGTCACAATTGTAGGGCTGGAAAGACAGATTTTTTTTGAGATGCAGATAATGAACATTGAATTACATTTAGCTGTTATGTCTAGTTTTCTTCATCTCTCCAATTCTGCCGCTTTGGTTTGATAGTGTGTACACACATTTAGATGTTCTCTTGCTTACAAATTGTACGAGGAGAAACCCAGATTTGAAGGGAAGTGACCTTTATCATGTTATTTAGTGTATAGATGTTATACAAATCATTTTGTATTAAGCAGCCTTATTGTGACCTTATTTTTTGAGAAGCACCTTCTTAAATGAAGTCCAATTGTTCCATCTTTACCTTCTTTTTTTTTTCCAGGATTCCCTGAGAAAATAACCACCAAAAAACAATATAGGCTCTTGGGAAACAGCCTTAATATACACGTGGTCTCCAGACTCATTCACCTGATGTTTGCATAGCCACTGAGGAGACATCTTAATGAACTACCCAGTCCTTCACATCTGAAATGCAGCCTCCTGTAGAGACATTTGAAACACTCACTGGGTTAAAAGAAGACTAATGTCCAGCAATCTGACATATACAGCACAAACCAGGAGATAACATTTAGAGCAATCCTGCTTTGCTGACAAATTTATCCATTTTGGTTTGAGTGGTGCACAAGTAGCTGTCAATCTAACATCAGTTTGGAATGGAAATTTGACTTTAAACTTTCCTTTTTTATTTTCTAAATGTATTGCCATAATTTGTTTTAATAAAAAAATCATAAAGTTGTCATGATGGTCACGATGTCATTGTAATTGTTTTGTTGTATTTTAACATGCCAAATTCTCAAACATTTACTTTTGTGTTAATTTTATTTTTTTGTGGCACTAAGGACTCAAGGTAAATACATGCATCTCTGTAGTAAGTATGCTTACAAAAGAAATGGGATATTCCAAATAATTTGGAGTGTCAAGGTTGCTGGTATAGGAGGTAAAAGACATGGGAGATGCTTAAAAAAGAGTTTAAACCTCTACAGAAGCAATATCATATTAAAGTTGTTTTTGGTGTTTTCTAGAGTTTTTGTGTACAATGTATACTAGTTTTAGTTTTTACTGTGTTGGTCCTTGTAAAGAATTTTGGTAATGAGTTTACTTTCACACTTTCAAAAGTTTTTTTTTTTGTTTTCACAAAAATGATGTACTGTAATTTCAGAAGAACTGAATTTAGTGTAACTTCAATAAAGCTTGATGAAATTTGAATCCTTAGTATAC